CCTGCCCAGGGAGGTGACACTGCCTGGAGCCAGGGCCATCAGGAAGCTATTGCAGATAGCCCAGATAGCAGCAGGGAGCCCTCGGGGCGAGGGGGAGGTGGGGCTGGGGCTGCATCCCCCATGCAAGTGAGAACCTGGAGATGGTCTGTGAGGCAGGGCACAGAGGGAGAGAGCCAGAAAATAAATGAAAACAAGAAAAAAACAACCAAAAAGAACAAAATGGTGGAAACAAAATGGTTAGAAAACACTCCTGTCGGGCCGCCAGAGCCTGACCTGATTTATTCAAGGAATCTGTTGGCCTTCCTCCCGTCTCTCTTTTCCGAGACACCTTTCCTACTTCTCATCGCTGCGACGTTGGTTATTAAATCCCTATCAAAGGTGGGAATAAAACCGCACCCTCCTGACGGCCCCGACCACGGCGCGTCGCTCCACACAGCCTGGACCACCTTTCCCACCCCAAAACCTGAGAAATCCCCCCCTTGGCTGCGTTGCCTTTTTCTTACCATCCCGTCAGCCTCTCTGCAAGATGCTGGTGGAGCGAGCGGGACTCTGGCTGCTCCGGTACTGGGGACAAGGGGTGATCCTTGCTGGTCCAAGGCTGGTGGAGCTTGTTCCTGTCCTGTGGGTCAAAGAGGAGCTTCTCTCCAGGCTGGGAGGATAATGAATAACAGCCCTCCCCTTGGGATTTGCCTCATTCCCAGGGGGAGGAGAGGGGCTGAGCCCTTCACTCCTTGGCTGGCAGAGCAGGATCCAGCCACGGATTTGAACCTGGAGTCCCACATCCTCCAGGGACGCTGCAACTTCTGAGGGTTTTGGGAAGAAGATGCTTCAGAGGGTTTTGGGGAGAAGCCGCTTCCCTTTTGGGGGTTCTCACCCTGGAGCCAGTCCCCTCGACCTGCCGCCTTTGCAGGGGGCAAGCCGGGCAAAGCGGGGGGAATGGGGAAAAGGCCCTGCCAGGTTTGGGGGGACCTGGCTGCGGGCGCACAGAGGGGTTCAAGGCAGCGAGGGATGCGACGGCCTCGCTGCATGGCATCGCCACGGGCGAAATGGGCGCTGGGGGGGTGTCTTCGCTCCCTGCCTTGCAAGGAGGAGGGTGCTCCGCGCCTTGCCCGCTTGCCTTGCACCCCAAACTTGCTCTGCTGTCCCACTGGGAGCAGAGAAGGACGGGGGGGACAGGATCTGGCCGGGGTAATGGGTCTCGGCTGAAGGACGGGTGAGGAGCGGCGATTTGCAGGAGCTCTGCAGCGCTCCGTGGCTGCGCTTTGGTGATAAGCAAACCCTCCCCGGTCCCTCATTAAGGAGGGGATGATGATAACGATTTTTCTGAGCCTGCTAACTGGGGCAAGGTGACCTCCAGGAGCGCCGCTCTAAGCCCCGAGCGGGCAAGGAACCACCGCTGCGGGCAGCTGCCTTCGCAGGGCCACGGGATGCTCTTGGAGACCCAACGCTTGCAGCACAATCATGAACTGGTGCAGGGGAAGGGGGGAGAATTGCTTCTTAATGACCAAGCAGGACCTCACAGCACCTCCAGCAGCTTTTTCCATGGGTCTTCACACCTGCTTTCCAAGCTCCTTGACCTCCTGACCATCCCGAAACCCTGCTGATGATTTCCCGGCTGCAATGCAGCAAATTACTGAATAATCTTCCAACACACCTTCGAGCCCAGACAGACCCCAAGGGGGCCAGCCAGTTAGGGTCAGA